TGGCAGAGTTCCTGGGAAGCTGTCCATTCCCCACAGAAGAGTCCTGAGCCCCGACCTGCTAAAGGCAACAGAGGGGGACAGGAAGTCCAGCCTAGGCTCTGCCGCGGCCAGCAGAGTGGATCTCCACGACGGGGCAACTGCTGAAGTTGATGATGGTCAATTTTCAAATGTGAAAACAAAAGCCTGGAAGTCATGTACAGAGAGCACTGGCGGGGGAGTCCGGCGGTCAGCCTCAGGCAAGAGAGGGATACCCCGCGCCTCAAGCCCAGGCCACCCAGGGAAATGCAGGGAAAGATGGGCGGTGGGGGAGACAGCAGCCCTGGCCATGGGGCCCTGCGTCCCCGTGCGCGCGAGTCGGGCCTGGGTCAGTTCTGACCACACAGGGTCGGGGGCAGACAGCTGGGGCTAGGAGCAGGCCCAGGACACTGGCAGGCCCAGAGCAGGAGGCAGGTAACAGGGGCTGGATCAATAGCACAGCTCAGCGGGTAGGGTGTTTGCCTTGCACACAGCCAACCCGGGTTCGATTCCCGGCATCCCATATGGTCCCCTGAGCACCGCCAGGAGTAATTCCTGAGTACAGAACCAGGAGTAACCCCTGTGCATCGCCGGGTGTGACCCAAAAAACAAACAAATAAATAATAAATAAAGGAGGCAGGTAACAGCTCAGAGGGTGCAAGGCAGAGGGGAAGGGGACAGAAACACGCAGCCTTCTCCCCTCCGCAGACAGATGGATGGCGGCTCCAGGGACGGGCTGCCAGTGCCGCCGGCAGGCGCCAGCTTAGGGCCAGCTCCTCGCCAAGGGTCCCCTTCTCACCTGCACCCACAGGTGAGCAGCTCTGGCCACCAACAGGCCCAGTATGGCCTGCGGGCAGAGGGACTGGCCCACTCCTCCCAACACCTCCAGCAGGAAGGGGCCATCAAGCACCCCGAAGCCCTGAGAACCAGCCAGGGTACAGAGAGCAAAGGAAACACCACGCGTGGGGTAACGCAGGACCCCACCTCAGAAGAAAGCAGGAGAGGGGCTGGGGGGAGGGCAGGGGAGGCTGCCGGCTAGGCCCACAGACGTGGCGTCTGGGCAAGAGCTGAGGAGATAAGGGAGAGGACAGCAGGGAGAGGGGAAGAGTGGGGAAGTGTCCTCCAGGCAGGGAGAAAGCAAGTGCAAAGGTCTTGAGGCACAGGCAGGAGGTGGGTGGGGATCAGGGCCATGAAGGGGAGCAGGCCTGGGGGCCGCGGTGAGGAGAGAAGGGGCACGAGGGCCAGGTCAGGAGGGCTGTGCTGGGTCCCCAGAGGGAGTCCAGGGCATGGTCAGTCTATGAGGGGGTCTGGGGGTAAGACGCTCTGACCCCCTTTCTTTTCCCTCCCTGTGGAGGCCCAGGCCACACTGTGGATGAAGGGATTCGTGGGCTCGAGGCGGCAGGAGGAGGTGGCTGCCCCGAGTCGTGCAGGGGACAAGGCTTAAAGTCTAGTGTCCACACAGGGCCCCTGAGGGGCCAGGCAGGTCACCTGCACTGGGCCTTCAGGTAAAGAGTGAGAGGGGGTGTGCAGGGGTCACAGGGGACCAGCCCCTTCTGCAGCAGCAGTTCACGCCACTCTCTGAGCCTCAGTTTACCCACATGTACAAGGGCAGACTGGACAAGAACAACCAATTCCTAAGGCTCGAAAGTCTTAAATGGCCTCACCCCGCCCTCACCAAGTCTGACTTCCACACCCCATTTCTGCTGGGGCTCCCTCCGAGATTCGCGCTTCTGTTCTCCCAGCCTCAGAGCCCGCCACCATGAGCCTCCAACTCCACCTCACAGATGAACCCCTCCCTCTTCCCCAAAGGGTGGGGGGCTGGGTCCCACCTGCTCAGTGCCCAGACAGTAGGCCCCTGCTGTGCATGAGGACACTGGAGGCTACAGCTGAGCAGCTGGCACCACTGTGCCCATCCCAGAGCCCAGAACCAGCCCCATGAGGCCGAGGGGCACAGAGGCCTCTGTGACCCAGACAGGAGACCCCAAACACTCGCTGAGCACCCACGAAGAACCAAGCCCGCACCAGGGCCAGAGACAGCTGCAGAGAGAGAGACAGAGACAGGGAGACACCAGGCCCAGGGCCCTGCTGGGGACCAGCCCAGGTAGGGGCACCTGGAGAGCAGCAGGAGCCTTTCCAGAGGCCCCCATGCAGGCGCACGCGTGGACTGGCTGGGGTGTCTGTACCGTGATGGGAGAGGACCAGGGCTCTGGGTGCGAGCCCCCCGCCCCCGCCTCCGCCCTGCACCTTGCAGGCCTCAAGCCTGCCGTGTGTCCAGGGAGCGGATGCCCCCCTCAGCCCCGGGAAGCCCATTAGGAAATTAAATCAGCCGGCAGAGCTCCGGGCCCTCCGCCAGTGCCCGAGAGGGCTCCCGTCCTGCCCTCGGCCCCCACGGAGGCCCGCATCCCCACCCCCTGCTCCCCCAGGCCTCCTGCCTTCCTGCCTCCCGCCCTGCCCGCGGCCCAGTTTCAGGCAGGCTCGCTTTCATCTTCGCCTCTCCCTGCTGCCGGCTCCCGAGCGTGCTGCCAAGTCCCCGACGCAGCCATCCTGTGGGACAGAGCCCACACCCACCACAGCGCCCCGCAGCCGGCGCTGCCCACGGGCCACCTCCCTCCCGGCCTCGCCTCCGTGCCAGCCCATGGCAAGGCTCCAGTGCAGGCCCCACGGGAGGGCAGGTGTGCCCATGTGTCACTCACGGGAAGGCCTGGCAGGGGCCCAGCAGCAGCCACCGGCTGCACCTGTCGGAGGGCTGAGCCGGCCATGGCCGGGCCCCGGAGGGCGAGGCAAGGGTGAGCGTCGCGGGCGCGGAGGTGCTCCAGCAGCCTGGGGCAGGCAGAGCCACAGAAGGGACCGGGAGTGACGACACAGTTGCTTCCCCCCACACGCGTGCCAAGGCCTCCAGGTGCCATGCTTGATGCTGTCAACCATGGTCCAGAGGCTCGGCCAGGCCGGAGGAAGCTGCCCACGGACAGAGCTGCCTAAGAGGGGCTGTTGCCCCGGCCACTGGTGTTATTTCCCCACCGCAGGGCCTGTCACTACTCTGGCTGTCCTGTTGAGAGAGGGACCACCCTGGGGCAGAAAGCCGGGCAGACACTGCCCGCTGGCCTAGCAGAGCGAGTGGAGGTTCTGCTCAAGTCTGGACCCGCTGTGTGGCCAGGGAAGAGCTGGTGCCTCTCTGGGCAGCTCTGCCTCCTGGCAGCCAGTCACTGACCTTCCCCCAGGCATTGCCCAGAGGGACCCTACAAGGGTCTGTAGTGGCAGTTGGAGTAGAAGACCCCCAGGATGGATCCCTGGAAGAGAAGCAACAGCCCTGCAGGAAGGGGGAGGGCAAGATTGTGCCCTCAGCCAGAGTGGGGCCCGGGACCTGGGTGGCGCGGCCAGGCCTGATCAAACCCGAACCACCAGACTGCCCATGCAATAGAACACCTGAACGCTCTCCTCACCCCTGAGCTGCTCACGCAAGCCCCGGACCCTGCCCACTGAGCTGATGGGGGTCCTCCAAAGGTCCATTCTTAGAGGTGCTGATTCCTGGTCTAACTAGAAGAGACCCCAGAAAGCTGAAAGACAGGCCTTATTCTGGAGTCTCTTTGGGGGGGGGGGGCAGCCCCAGGAGGGGTGTTTTCAGAACACAAGTGAGCTCTCCACAGGAAGCCCACAAGCCTCCCTGGCCCCGCCCGGGATCTTCCCCCAGGCCCTCTGGCCACATGGCTACAGCCCAGCCCGGGGCACCCCTGGCAGGAGCCAGCTATACACACAGGGGGGACACACAGAGGGAGCACCCAGGCCGGGGGTGGGAGCTGGGCTTGGAGGGGCAGCAGGCAGCTGGGCTGGCCTCAGGGCTCCTCAAGAAAGGGTGAGGGGCAGGCCGGAGGCTAACGCCTTCTGGGTTTGCACCTTCGAGGAGGCGGCTGCTGATTTCAGCGGTGTGTGGGCGCCTCAGCGCTCCGGGAGGCAGAGCCCCCGACAACCAGGGTTCGGAAGGTGGCTGGGGGGTGGGGATAGCAGGAGGTCCCAGCCCTGGACTCCAGGCCTCCGGCACAGTCAGATGGGTAGACCGAGATGGGGAGCAGGACGGCCCCGGCTGTAGGGAAGCAGGGATCCCAGGCATCCAAGCCCCCCTCCCCAACACCACTCTCCCCTGACTCCCCTCCCAAACCTGCTCCCCAGCCTCCCGTGACATGTGCAAGCTCCAAGAGCCCAGGCAGCACAGACGCGGCTTCGGGGCCTCAGGCCGGGGAGCTCCCCCATCACATCCCACCCCACTTGTCACCGAGAAAGAGCCCCAAGCCGCCTGGCCCCCAGGACAGCCCTGAGCACAGGAGTCCGGGGAGGTACTCGGGCCCTGAAACCCCTGGGGGCTTCTCAACAGAGGGAAGGGGACCCTGGGTTCGGCGCCCAAGGCCGGCTTCTAAATGCAGAAAGGTGCGGCTGGAGTTGTGTACTGCCGCTGGCCAGCAGAACCATTTCCAGAACATTTCTACTCCGAGAGCACTGGAGGTGGGCAAGGGAATCGCGTCCAAGCGCCTGCAAAACCCGGACCCGGGGGTCTCCCCAGGGGGGTGGTTCTCGGTCCCCCCAGCTCCTGGGCATCCCCCCACCCCACCCCATATCCCGGGTGTGAGAAGGTCACGCGGAGGACTGATGCCAAGCGGGAAAGTGCCTCCCACGCTCCCTCCCGAGCCCCCTCCCGCAAGTCGGGCCGAGGGGGCACGGGGGCGCCTCAAAGTTTCCCAGAGAGGCCCCCAAGGCCAGCGTTGGCCGGGAGCAAAGTTCCCGGGTGGCGGTGGCCGGAGACATGGCAGGGGAAGCAAAGCTCGCAGTCAGCATTTCCTCCGATGGCTCACCCAGGGAGGAAAAACACCGAGCGCGAGGGGAAGAGCGCGCCCGCCCGCCCCACCTTCGCGGCTGCAGCAGCTCCGCGTGGCGCTCGGGGCGGCCGAGGGGGCCTGCGGGGCGCCCAGCCCAGCCCCCGGGGGCCGCGCACTCACCTCGGTCGGCGGCGCCCGCGCCGGCCGCGCGTCCTCCGAGCCCGGGGCGGCCGCTCCTGGCCCCGGCTGCTGCCGTCCCGGCCGCATCGCCGCCGCGCCTAGGGCGGCCCCGGGGGGCGCTCCATGCTCCGGGGCGCGATCCCCGGGGACCCGCCTGGACGGCGCCCGGCAGCCGAGCGCGCTCCTGGCCCGCGCCGCGGCTCGTGTCCTGGACCCCGCCGAGCGCGGCCGGCCCACCCCCTCCCCCGCCCGCGGCGCCCTGGCCGGGGCCCGGCGCTCCCCCGCGCCCGCCCGCGCCCGCCGCGCAGCCCCTCGCCCCCCGCGACCGTGCCCGGGGAGGCGGCGGCAGCGGCCAGGCCGGGGACGGCGCGGAGAGAGGAATGGAGGGCGAGGAGGCGGCGGGGATGAGCTCGCGCGCGCCCCGCTCCGCGCCCCGCGGCCGCCCGAGCCCGGCTCGGCAACTCCTCTAACTCTCGGGCGAGAGCACGCCCGCCCGCCCCGCGCCAGCCGCCGCTGCCCCCGCCCACCTGGCCGCGGCCCGCCCGAGCCCCCCCAGCGCGGCCACCACCCCCTACACACACGCACCACCAGCCACTTGAGCTCCGGGGCGCGCGCGCACGCGCGCGCACACACACACACACACACACACACACAGAGTGGCATGTCCTCCCGGGGACACGCGCACACACAGGTGCATGGCGAGTGCACACACGCAGGCGAGCGACTCCTGCACACACGCGTGGCACACGGCCCCAGCGCGCCCGCCCAGGCGGCCACAGGCACACAGGGAAAACGCAGGCGCGGGCGTGCCCGATGGTTGCAGGTGCACAGGTGCGTGCACACGCAAAGTGCACTGCGGGGTGAGCGCTGCACGTGTGCGCACGTGCACAGATTCCAGCTCGTACATTCCCACGGAATCCTCTTCCCCTTGCACACCAGGCACGCACGCTCCTGTGCACACATCATTTCCTCCTCTTTAATCGCATCTCTCTCCAGCCGGGCTTCTGCTGTTTGGCTTCTTTCTTCTGTCTCCTGCTCCTGCTCCTCCCCCTGTGCGCTCGCGCTCTCTCTCTCTCTCTCTCTCTCTCTCTCTCTCTCTCTCTCTCTCTCTCTCTCTCTCTCTCTCTCTCTCTCTCTCTTCTCTCTCTCTCTCTCCCTCTCTCTCCCTCTCTCTCCTCTCTCTCTCCCCTCCCTTCCCCCACCCCCCACCCACCTGACCCCCATGTGACCCTCTTGTAACCCTCTTCTCTTGCCACCCTGTCCCTGTCCCTGGAGCTGGCTTTCAACTTGTCCCCCCCAACCCCACCCCCACAACCCTGTCTTCCCAGCCTCCTGGGGCCCATTGTCTGGCCTCAGATCTCTCAACCTCCAACAGGGCCAAGCTTTTCATCCTGCCAGACAGCCCTGTCCGATGGCCTTGGCCCAGGGAGACCCCACTGTATTACCCATCTGACCCCTTGCTCTGTCTTGAGATCACGGAACTGGGCCAAGGAGACAGGTCTGTGGCCTAAGCGCAGGCCTCAAAGAGCTCCGGGGCCCTCAGCCTCCAGCTTCCCCTTTAATGTGAAATATAATTATGTGTCTGCACAGCAGGGGGACTGGCTGCAGGATTCTAAGCAAGGAGGATGGCTCTCTGGCCTCTGCCCAGACTGCTGGCTGCTCAAACCCAACAGTTAGCAATCCCCCCAGCGCGGGGTGCTGGCCTCACGAAGATGGTAGGTGCCTACTGCCCTTCCTGCCACCTCCCACCCCCAACTCACTGATCTCGGGCCGCTCCGAGTCCCAGTCTGAGTCCCATGCCTTTATTGGCTGGTGGAGGAGACAGATGCTCACACTTTCCCCAGGTCCATTGTTGACCTCGAGTATTCCCACCTCCTGAACTAGAGGATGGATTTCCTGAAGCACTTAGCAAGGTTCCCGTTGGGAATGGCTACCATGGACAGAGCACTCTGCCTGCAGCTCTGCACCCAGGACCTCGTGGGTTCCCTTCAGGATCTCTGGGGCTATGAGTGGACATGCTTGCTGGTCCTTTTTTACAGGGAAAGAAGCTGAGTTCAGGGAGCAGTGGCAAGGTAAGTGGAGCTGGGATGCAGAGCCAGGTGGGTCGCTGACCTGGAAAGAAAGAAGCCCGGCCCCCTACCCGAGATTTTAGCCCATCACCCCACTCTTCACGACTGGAGATCAGCTCCCAATAAATCCATTCCGTTTTTTCCTTGGAGTGACCCAGTAGAAGAGTGACACGGCCCCCAACACTCTGCTCAGACTCACTCTGCTATAATGCTCCACCATACAAGTGCTACTTTCCCTCTACTGAGAGCGAGCTCCAGGAAAGTGTCCAGTGTCTAGTCTGCAGGATGGACAAGAAGGCTTTGACTACCTCTTTGTTTAGGACTTACTTAGAGCTTCTGGGGATAGAAGAGGCTCTTCAACCCTAGAAGCTACACATACACACACACACACACACACACACACACACACACACATACAGAAAGAGAGAGAGACAGACAGACAGACAGACACAGAGATGGAGAGACGGAGAGAAAGAGACAGGAAAAGAGAGAGCCTCCACCCAGTTGGTTGAGAAGAAGGACCAGTGTCAGGCATACTAGGTCTTCTCTCTACCCCCAGGTCTTCCTGAGAGCCATCCTCAACCCCATTTCACAGGTCACCCAGCACCTGTACACCTGTGCAGAGAGAGGTTTCAGATTAAACCCCTGTTAGGCTGTGCTACCTCCTATGGAACCAAAATTCAGTTCTTAGTCTTTTTTTGTATGTGGGGGGGGGGGTGGAGAGAGAAGGCACACCTGTCCATACTCAGAGTTTACTCCTGGCTCTGTGCTCAGAGATAAGTCCTGGAGGGGTTTGGGGGGGGTGGAATGTGGTGCCACTGATTGAACCCAGACTAGCACATGCAAGGCAAGCTCCTGACTCACTGTACTATCTCTCTATCTCTCTGCCACACCCCCCCCCCCCAGTTCTTAATCTTTATCAAGTCATTCAGACTCTGGACACACACAGCCCTGAGCTGGGCAGGTAGGGCGCCAGCCGCCCCAAGAGACTGTGAACCCTGTGCCCAGAGTCTCTCCACTCAGCCCCCCCAGTCCTCCCAAGACACTTCCTCTAGTGCTGAGGGCTGAACAAAGCTGGCTGGGGACCTTAGACACCCCCTGTAAGGGCCCCTCGCCCTTCTCTGTGAAATCCATGCTGTCTCAGCATCCCTGTGGTGGGTGTGAGGGAACTCCCTGTAGGCTGCAGTGGTTTGCTGGTCCATGCAGTGAGCAAATCTTTTGCAATATTTTGTCTTAATATGACAACATCGAAGTGTTTGTTTCAGGCATAAATGAAGCCGTGATTGAGATGTGAAAGCCAGCCAGAAACACCAGCCTGTGTTTCTGTGCCAGGCAGCCTAGCTGCAAGGGTAACCCTTGGACTCCTCACTGCAGACTCCTCCGTGGTTCTCTAGGTCACCTCCTCTTGGGAACTCCCCAGCTTTCTTCATTTCTCACTGGATCTCAACCAGCCCCAGACCCTGAGTCCTGACATCCCTGACACATAAGATGAGCTCACGGCTTGCCAGAGCAAACCTCCCCAGGAAGGCATGAAAACTAATGTTGCCCAAACCCAAGGCCCACCCACCCACCTCCTGCCCACCCACGCCCCTGGGCCTCTGTGTTACAAACCCACCTACTTACTATTTTGGCCCTCCAAAGTCTCAATGGGACTCAGCCACTAGTTTCTCTCCCCAAACTGGTCTTCCTTCAGGGGCCGACTGGGCTTCCAAGCTCCACTTTACTTTTCTTCATTCACTGACTGCTCGAAGGACAAACAGGCCAGGAGTGAGAGTCCACGGCAGCAGCAGTGGCAGCAGGCAAGTCCTGGGACCCTCCTTCCTGGGATTGGGATGGGAGTTAACCTGTCCCTCTCTGCTCCGGGCATCAGGCAGAGCGCTCTGCACCTACTGCTTAAACTGTGGGTGGCAATCCCCTATGGGGTCTTGTAACTGAATGTGTGTGTATAGGTGGGAGTGGGGGGGGGGGGTCACACAAACTTTGACAAGGGTGAAAGGCTTCTGAATGTGCAATGACCACAAATTAATTCCAAACCAACCATGTTGTAATTCCGAGGTGCTTTTGGCAGTGCTAGTGCGGGTCGTATTTCTCAGGTGAAAAAGATTGTGTGTAGAAATGGTTTTCAGAAGTCCTGCTGGTATAGGATACACATTTTCTGCTTGGTGTAAAATACACATTTCCGGGATGCATGAAGTCCCATTCGGAGGTCAAGAGATGCAGGATGGCATCTGGCCAGAGCCAGGGGGGACAGAAGAAAGAGGCCCCTAGCTGGTAAGGGGCAGCAGGGCCAGTGAATTCTGCCCTCAGCCCAGTCCCTTCACCAATACCCTTTCCACAGGACACTCCTTGATACTAATAATGACAGTAATGGTCGTGATTCCTGCCCCCTCCCCCACTTGTGCATTTGGCCTGTGCCAGGCTTTGGGTTAACGCCCCCTGCACGGACTCATTAATGAGGAGGATGGTATTACAGTGATGGGCAAAGTGCTTCAGGCTAACCCACACCTAGAAGGGCCAGAGATCTTGGCCCTTGGAATAGGATCCCGGGGAGACCTGGGCCTCCGTCCCTTCTGTGGGTGTCAAGGAGCCAGGGTGCAGCAGAGGTCAAGGAAGTGACTACCCTGTGCGCTCAGGGCCACTAGCCCCACCTTGGCCCCAGGCACGCACAGGCCCCTGGCTGACCCTGTGGCATTGATTTGAGGTGCAGAACTTCAGGAAGGGCCAGTGGCCCTGGAAACAGGACACTGAGTTCCTCCCAGCCATCAGGAAGCAGGCATTGATCAGCGCAGCCTGGAGCTGGCCGCTTGACTTATTTCCCTCCTGCACAGGATCTGACACGCGCCCTCCCTCACCCCTCCTCCCGCCTCCCCTGGAGCTGCAGCTGTCAGAAGGACGTGCTAATGGAGGCCAGAGAGGTCCCACGGGGCCCCGAGGCCACGACTTCTGCTGCCTCCATCCAGCATCTCCCAAGAATGGGCGCCAGGTCGACCCGGGCGGCAGGGTTTCTGTTGTAGCCAACGCGATTTCCTGAGATCCACGAGGGCCTTGATGTTTGGGCCCCACTTCAAGGAACTTTGCTTTTCAGGGACCCATCCCGCCCGAACCCCATTCTTCACACCAACATTTCCTGTTGGGTCAAGTCTGGACCCCCGAGGGCCAGGCTACCACAGAAAACTGA